TAAGTCGGTGACTTGCAAAAAAAATAGAGACAGCGTGGTGCTTTGGTCTGATGATGCCAGAATGGGCGAGGCTTACGACCATGCCCTGACACGAGCGCCCCTTTCGACTGCATTTCGCCTTGACCCACCGGATAGATCCTTACACAGGACAAAAATCAACCAACCCGTAACCCTGGTTTTTCGATTACTAGAACTGCGGGAAACGAAGTTTCGGCGAAACAATGTTGCTTGCCTTGAGGATGGTCACGTCCTTCGGCTAAAATATTGGCAGTTCAAATAAAGAATTTACCATATCTTTTCGCATGTGTTCACAACCATTGTGTGAACTGTGAATTCACGATTTAATGATTCGATCTTTAAACAGAATTGGCCACCATCTGAGAATCGCTTAACACCTAAAACACTATTCTTTCCTTGCATAACATATTGATCAAGTGCTTTTGCAGTATACGCCCCGAAGATGCAGTTATTCGCATGAATAGTATTATTAGTTTCCTCATGATCCCCGATGCCAATTCAGTCGAAATATCGCAAGCTTATTAAACACAGAAGGTGGATCGACACAACAAATTGAAGGTTTCAAACATAAAGTCGCACCGTGTAGTAGCCAGCTGAAATAGAACTTGCAATGGTCGCGCTAACCCACCCAGTAGCTAAAATGATGGTGCAGTGGCACAATGGCATGAGGCTGACTTGGAACTCGAAAGATACTGATTTGTCTATGCCGCTAATTTCCTTGAGCAGGGTGTTCACCCACCCAACCCCGTTGCTTCTGAGCAACCAGCTGAGAAACGAGAAGCAAGGCGCTGACTCGCAAGTAACATGGAGAGGATGGTGTTCTGGTGCGTTCATCTCAGAATGGACAAAGTTCACCAGCATATTGTCGGTTGCGAGCGTACCTTACGACTTCACCCGCTAGCTGAGTATCCAATGCAGTATCAGTATCAGCAGTGTAACCCAAAAATTAGTTAGCAATCAAGCATTCCACCAGCTAGGTCAAACACTAACTGCCCCATGCAGGTGTACATATTTTCTTCATTCCTTGATGATGACCGATGCCAGTTCATTCGAAACACTGGAAATTGAAGCAAATCTTTTTTCATTATGCGGTTCATCATGCAATCACAACACCTTCCAGCTTCAATTATTCTACAGCACAGTATCAACATGAGTCGATGAAGTTACTTGGATGCGAATACATCTTCTAAATGCAAGGTTAGCCGTATGAAGCAAATACCTAATTAGTGTTAGTTCCAGCGTTTGGATCGAACTAACATCAGTCAACTTCGGACCTTCCATCTACACGATCACAAGGCCATAGTCAGGCGAAAGTTGAACTCGGGTAATGCGCGGATGCCGGAACAACATCGATGTTGGTGGCAACACTTGTGATTTTATGTAAGCATAAATTTTATTAAAACTAATTTACTGTTCTTCGTTATAAAGTATAATTATATTTTTACCATCTCAAAGCAAAACATCTTTCCCCATATGTTAAAATACAATCACGACAGTTATTCAGCAAAGTGAGGAAATAACACGAAACTCAGTTGGCTCCGATCTAGAGTCTAGAAAAATTGCACAGCACGTCGCAAAAACCCAAAAGGTACGGGGACATGCAGCACAAAACCGAAAAATAGGTGCTAGTTTATTAGTTTAATCAATAACAAAAGCTTATATATAGCTAAAAGTTCGTCATCTTATTTCGGTTCTTCAGTCTTGATGACGCTCTCATCCCATTCATAAAACCTGTCGATTTTCGGCACTTTAAACGATGGCGTGATGTAGTAGCCGAACAAGTGCCGTCTGCCGATGATTTCACCAACGAAAAACCACATAAGAATTTCCAAACCGATACACGAATACAAAACCGACTCCTAAAACGAAATAGCAGCAATATGACGGAACCAGCTCGGTGGATATCGTAAGTGTCATACCCTAACGGTTAGGTTCATCAAAGTTTCTTTGTTCAAAAATGCGTACAACTTCACCGCGTCATTTTTTATCTGAGGGATTTCCCTCAACGACGGGAAAACCAGCTCTGTCCTTGCATACTGCTGAAACTGACGCAGTTTTGGAGCAGACTTTTCGACGGTATCTAAAAACGAAATTCGAATTTGTTCCAGCGGTAAAATAACGGTAGTCCAACCGACATCGAGCTGTTACTTTTGAGATACTTTACGTAGAGGCTGTTGAGCTTCGACCATGACGAAGAAACAAAACCGATCTGCGTAAGTCGTCCAGCCACCTTGTTAGCGACATTCATGGCCAGTCCTAAAAATCAATTGCCAACTTATACTCTAATCACAGCTAAATAAAATGAAAGCTAAATGTCGTATGCAGCGTATCCTTCCTTAAATATTCCATCATTAATAAATAAAGGAAAATTATAATGCGGTGCCATTACTGTTGCATATAGATACCAAACGACTGCGGCACTTTAATTGGTCCTCTAG